GTGAACTTGACCAGGCTTCTAAAAACAGTTCGCCATATTGTTTACGAGTGTCGCCATATATCAAACCGATATTTTCATGTACGCGATAGAAAGTGGTATTGTTTTAGTGAAACTTTTTAATGAAACGCTTTCATAAAGAAAGATAACGTTAAAAGCTAATCTTACTAAAGCCCTGATCAAACGAGAATGAAAGTTGATGACAGTAGAGAGTTTGCATGAGAGTTTTCTCAATCCTCATGCTCGGATCAAAGAGAACAAGAGTTGCATGAGAGTTGATGGAGAATAGACCTTATGCACAATGACGTCACAAGGCCTGATGCCCGCGAGGAATGCTGGTCTTAGTAGTCATCGCCCGGGAAAATTTCGATAGTGGCCATTTAATTTTCCCGGGCGATGACTACTAAGACCAGCATTCCTAGCGGGCATCAAGCCTTGTGACGTCACTATGCATAAGGTCTAATGAGTGGACATTACCACGTATAGTAAACATGGACTCATCAAAATTTGAACTAAAAAAGTTCAGCTCAAAGTTGACGAAAGTGCACGAGAGTTGACGAGAGCTCGCGGTCACACGCGAGATGAAATTCTCCTAACTCTTATCCTCGCTTGATTGGGTTAAAACTAACTCCCCTCTATCTAGACCTCTTAGTCGTTTTTCTTCCCTCTCAGAGCCTGTATTCGCTCAATGATTGGAGGATGGGAGTAATGGTAGGTGGAGTAAAGCTTATCTGCAACAGGAAATCCAAGGTTATCTTTGTGTAGTTTGATCAACGCGGACTCCAGTGGGTAAGCATAACCAAGATCCTTTCCAAATCTATCCGCTTGAAACTCGAAACGACGGCTGAGGACGGTCATGAGAAAACCTAACAACTGCAAGAGAAATTTATTGTCAAAGATAAGAAAAGATTCTTGGCAACATCCTTATATTTTTCGCACAAGAATAGTTCTGTTTGATCTTCACCCCATCCAATCACTAAATTTATTATGGCAAAACATACCTGTGTTTATATTCCAACACTACCTAGCTTTTGACCACTAAAATTACCGAAAAATATCTAATAAAATTCCGCTAAAGGAATTCTAGCACAAGCAGACGGCCGAAACTGAAAATCCGCCCCTAATACAAGTTAGAAGCGAAAGCTGTTAGAAGAGGTGTAGAAGCGTAGACATACCTCGTTATAAGGAGAAAATATAAACTGAAAAACAATCAGTAAACCAATCAAGGTTGGCTGACTTGAGGCGAAACCAAAACTGGCGAACAACACCTTCCAATGAACAAGAAAACCAAACACCATGAAACAAAACAATGTGTTGAACTACAAGCAAAGAAATAATAAACTGTCACTTGTGAGTCACTTTCTATCACAATAAACAGAACAATTAATACACAGACTTATCAAAGCCCATTCCATGTTTGAATAAAACATACACAGTTGGGTTTCACTAAGCACTGTCGTGCAGCAAATGGTGGTAAATCTGCAGTTATCAGAGGAAGAAAATAATGATAATATCAGGGTTTTTTCAGGATTTTCTCTTGGGTCCGTTTTTGCAGAGAAGATTGAGTTTAGCTGAACAGCTGGGGTGGCTGCTTGCCCCCCCCCCCTACCGGGGGGCTGACACTTGTACTCAATAAATGTAGTTGAGACGGAATGTGTTAAAGCAGGGGCACTAAAGGACACTATAAACTGGTTAAAGATGGCGAATGCATAGTTTTTCTTGTGTTGTCAGATGAATTCCAGCCATTTTTTCTTTAATTGTCGGGTTTGCAACTGAAAACTAATTTCCACACATCACGAATTTAACTCAAACAATTTCATTTTTACTGCACTGAAACTTTGGTGAGAAGATCGAGTTTCAAAACTCAATTCAAGATTGAGTTTTTGGGGCCATTGAACGGCCCTAAAAAATCCCTGAAAAAAACCCTGAATATATTTCATGATATCAACCAAATTTTGCAATTCCATTAAATTAGCCAGCTATATATCAAAGGCAATAAAATCAGGCAACAAAAAATCAAGTGACTCACTTGACTGATAATTAAGTTCTTCACAGTATGATTCAGTTTCCAATGTCCCATTTCATGAGATAACACAGCCAATACTTCCTGGTTTGTACATCCAAGTCTTTTCGTTTTCTTCTCTTCTTTATTCTCCGCTGTTGTTTTCTTAAAACATACAAATAGGTACGTTAAAGGTACATTTACCTGGTCCAAGTTGTTGTCTTATATCACCAAGGTACATACAGTGTACAGGTACTCTTATCTCATCCACTGGAATTCATTAGGACACATGCAGTTATAGGATAAACTTTAACCTAATGGAATCACAGTAAGAAAACTATAGGGACAACATTGTTTATTTATTGATTTATTTATTTACAAGATTTGCCAAACATAGACATAAATTAGACTAGACAAAATTTACATACAACACAGGCAGGGAGTGACCACAGAGGCAATCTCCAATAACGGGGTCCCATTGGATCATGTAATGTTTGCCATTTGGATCGCATATCATTAAAGCCAAAATAAAAATCTGTCAACTGAATGTTGTAACTTTACTTGCTAATGGTGGAGCTCCAATTGATCTCTTCTATTTACCATGCTTGATATAAATTTCCGACAAATTCAGACAACTGTGCCTTGCTCTGGTATTCAGAGCTGCCACCCATGTCGTGTGATTTATTTTTAACATTCCCATGTGACTCCAAAACCTGAATACCTACCTCATCTGCCTTCACTTCTTCACCAGTCTCAGGCTGCTCCCCATTGTCCATACTTGACTGTACGTTTTGTTCCTCATTACCATCATCTACCCCACCATCATCCCTGCCTTGCTCTTCATTACCACCTTCTGTCCCCTCCTCTGTCCCTTCCTCTTCTTTCTTGGGCATCACACCCTCGGACAACAATGTATCAAACAGCACAATCTTCTTGTTTTTGTAGAAGCCATAGAAGTAAGCGTTGCTATGTGACGAACGTTTGGAACCTTCAACTACTAGTAGCTTTGTTAACGGGAAGTCAATACGTTGTGCTAGCATCTCAATAGCTGTCCGTAGCTCTCCCTCAGGGACTGGAGTAAACTTATCAAACAGTGGAGCAATGTAGTCCATGTAGATAGTCAAAAGAAACTAAATTATCAATTGAAAACTTGTGAGTAAATTGTCAATATTGCGAGTAGATACTGTAGTGAATGTAAACTAAATAACGGTACATGAATATAGTTTAAACTACATTTTCTTCATATTAACATGTTCTGAATGATGCTAGTTATATTTCAGTTACTGTAATTTAGTCGTGACTAAAATACAAATGAAACCAGAGAGTTGTAAAAAACAAAATAAAAAACTTACCAGTGAGATTAGTAAAGTGAATATCCAGCAGTAAACAAAGAAATAATCACCTCCCCACTTAATGATATAGATCAAGCCAGCCATGATGGGAAGACCAATGATCATGCTCACTATGAATTTCTTTATTGTGTCTTTGACAAAGAAACCAAATGTCTGGGAGAGAATAATTTTATATGATTATATTATTGTCAAAATCAAGGATTATCATAAATTACAAAACTTTCATTGATAGGGATGCAACTACCTGAAAAATACAAGGAGAAATTTGATATTTGGAGTTTTGATCTCCCTGTATTTTTTCGAAATTGAGTTATTGGATATTTTCATTACCTGTTTATTAAATCCATGCCGTTCTTCAATAACAAATGTGCTATAAATAGCCCATGGTATTCCAGTTATCAAACTATATATAGATCCAAGGATGGCAAAGACCATAGACTGTAAAATCTAGAATGAGCATTTTGCAACTGATGAGCTTGGATGAGGGATGCATTAACTTATACCTGAAAATCTTTTAGACATTGAAGTTTGTTCAAGATTAACTAGGTTGTCTCAAAATTTTGACACCTTTCCCTTTTACCGATAACTACATAAAAAACGTGACCCTCATTACTTGCAATTTTCAGCCAATTTCTGTCTTCCTAATTAAATTGCTAGGAAATTAGTGCCTGTCTCCATATTTTGTCCTTATGACTGATACTCAAACTTGAAACTACTAAGGTACTTGGTTACCTCATAACTTTCATCATACCCAAAACGGTGCAAGACCTTGCCAGCTAGCCACCATAACAATGGAATACCTCCAAAAAGCAACACCAACTAATAATATAAAAAAATAATGAATGTACTTCAAGCTAAACACAAGAAAAAGTTTAGAATATTCTTTTAAAAACATAATACATAGAAGTGGTGACAGTAGGGCAGAGACTAAAACCCAAGCTTTCGGGGGGTGTCTGGACCGCTTTTCCCCGTGGCTATACCCCTCGTCACTATCCATCTGCTACTCACCGTGGTCTCAATTTGGGAATATATTGAGTTCCAAAAACCAAAGTTCTTGGAATCCAGTTGATATAGCCTTGACTTCTCAAATGTTTCCTTGTCAAGAACATGTCGTAGTTCTATTGGTATCTCATCTGTGGTCTTTAAAACATTGCACTAAAAAAATACATATACACTTTTACTTGTCTTGTCTTTTTTCACTTTATACTGTAATTATTATGTACTTTATTGCTGCCGCAGCGAGCGAACCTGAAGCGAGCGAGCAAGGCAGCAGATCCTAATTTTGTTTTGTGGGTCAAAATCAAAATTTTCTATTTGGCGCATTGCATGACGGAACCAGTGAATTTTAACCGTGGTGCAACGCGGCCAAGCATAGCAAACAGGCAATGTGATCATCTTTCATCTTTGGTCTTCTTTTATTGAAAGCCATAACTGGCTTAAAGTGATCAAACGGCATTTTGTTGGGTGCTTTTAGCATTTAATATACGGCGGTGCTTTCGCCATTATACGCAGTGGTTTCCGCATTATACGCTGTGGTTCCAGCATTATACGCGGTGCTTTCACCATTTATATACGCGGTGCTTTTGCAATTATACGCAGTGGTTCGAGCACTATGCGGTGCTTTTAACATTATACACGATGCTAGCTTTCATTCAACATGATTTCCATATTCTTTCCATGACATATATATGATTTAACGATTGCTTAAATTTGGTATGTGGTTGACAGATGCTTTTGGGCTATGGTCCGCAAAGACAATGACATGCTATTCTGTGTATATAAATAAATATAGCGCAGCGAATGCGCCAAGCAGTATAAATTATAACGCGCGGCTGAAAAACGATATTAAAATCTTGAATGTGCCGTATGATTTAATTATGTTTTAGGATTTACAAATGCTTTGTCGTTTGTATTTATACTTGTACTGCATCACAAGGCAGTACGTAAGTGAAAAATTCACATGTGAGATTGTCTTGTATATATTTTTGCTTTCTTTGATAAACGTTATTAAACGTTATTAAACACGCAAATTTTAATTAGTGAGACGCAATGTTAAATGTCACCTGCATGTCATTGTCATTGCCCTTTAACCCCTGGTCTAATTGGCCGCTTTTGAAAATGTTGATCATGACAAACCGCACTGCCTTAATGATTAATTATGCAAACTTTGTGTTTTAAAAACGGGCTAGGATAAAACGCGGATACGGACGGATGGATGAATGACGGATGGACGGACAGATGGCGACGGACGGACCGGACGGATGACATATATATGTCATTATATAGTCTGCGCGCAGCCGCGCAGGGTAGTTAGTGGCTTACGTCTTCGCTGGTTGTTATACTTTAAAATAATTTTGTATATACCGAGAAATCAATATTCCGAGTATATAAATATATAAACTGGGATGTCACACTGATAGTTTGTTTACATTTCCTGGAGCATTCAATCTTATGTTTAACCACGGTGGTTTAACGCATTAGCTGGCAATGCGCCCTTCGACCTTCCCTTGTCCAGTGCCAGAAGATTTTACTCGTCAGTGGTACTGCCAGTAAATGGGTTAACAAACCTATCTGCCAATGGCTCTTGTTAATCTATCAGCACAGCAATGACTTTAGTATTTACCCTGTCCAACGCCAGACGATTTTTAATGCTCAGTCAGTGATAGAGTGCTGTCAATAAATGGGTTAACAAGGATAACAATAATAGGATGTTTCTGAAGGACTCGTTCAACACCCTGTAGTTTGTCTTTTGCTGTCAAAGGCAGCATTACTGGCCTGTGGGTAACCTAGTTCTTATGTTGTATTTGTTCACTTTTTAGGAATAGGGTGTAACTTCTCAACAATTAATCATTTTCAAAACATAATCATTTCGTGGAAGAGTTTTTGTATAATTATGTGAATTTCAGCAAAGCAGTAATCCAACAGTCCTGAAGCAATCATAGCCTTGCACTATAAATAATTCCAGTGCAGCACTCTCTGATTATTTTATCTTTATTTATATTATTCATTGCCATTATTATTGAATATGGGGACCAGTGTATGTGTATTCTACAATAAATGAAATTTTAAAAGGGAACAAGAGGAAAATTTTTAAGAAAACAGACCCTCTGGTGGTGCCAAAGTTCGGGAATTTGAACGAGTAGGTTGTGGGCGGAACAGCTGCGTAAGCAGTTTTGTTCTGCCTATCAATTGTTAATATTTCTGCCAAAGTTTATTAAAGTCTATCGATAAGTGAACTAGGGAATGTCCATGCATTAAACAAAATGAATATTAATGAACAAAGTCAACTACTGGTACAAGTTTTACAGGAAAAAGTTGAAAATCCTCGCTTCCGCACTTCTAACACATGTGGTAAGACATGGGAAATTAAAATAAGATAAATACAACTTTCTTGCCACAATTTACATTCATTTTATAGCTGAGAATACGCAGTTTTATACCTGTCGTTTTAATAAGTAACTTTCCCACAAATAAACGAGCCACAAGAACGCCAAAGTACCCAAAACTAAATGCGAGTCGTAAATTTCCACCATTTTTTCAAAATTCTGCGCCTGAACTTCTTGTACCTTCGATACCAGTACTTCATTTAGTTTTTCATGTAGTGGACCAGAGTTCTGCGAACCCTTTAATTGGATCAATGAAAACTAATCTGAATCTAATAATCCTAACTCGCAATCCTAATCATGTTTTAAACCTATTCTTACAGTAAAAGCTACTATGCACTACATGCTGCTAATCCTTATCTTAATCCTAATCCTAAGCTAAATTATAATTTTGGGCATAGAATAAAGATTTTTCTGTGACTTTGGGTAACTGGCCATAATTATACTATCTCAAAAATAATATCAAAAGGTTAATATTAGAGTTAAAATTGGGGTCAGGATTAGGTAAGGATTAAATTTTAGGATTGTGTTATGTTAGAATTAATCACAGTTAGTGAATTAATGCAAGGATCAAATCATGGCAAGGCACAGAATAGAAATTTTTCAGTGGTCGGGGTTAGAATTAGGATAGGGATGGAGGTTGTCGAAAATGACCCTAAATTTAATAACGTGCACAAAAATATATACTAGCAGACAAAAAAAGAATACTTATTTTGTTTGTATTTTAAAAGCAATAAAATAGCAATAGCAAAATAATAATCAACTAACAGAAATTCAACATAATTTACAAATATATAATTACGCGAATAAAAATATATATGCATGTGCAAAAAATACAAAATGTGGTGTATATGAAAATTTTCTCCCTATTCCAATTTATTAAAAGATTACCTCAAATGTGTATTTATTATATTTATGTATGCCCTAGGTGTGTCTAAACTCGGGATTATGCGCGGTGAAAGGTAAAATAGACGTACAAAAACAAGCCTACTGAGAAGATGATACCTAAATTAATATTCAAGATCAAACTGATGCGAGGATTCTGTTTTAGACTGCTCGATTTCTTGATCCTTTCTTCCTGTAGTTGTTCCGCATTGACAGCATCCTGATGGCCAACTTCCAGACCACATAACCATTTGTACGCCTTTTTACACATACTGTCGTCATTGCCTGAAAATCGAGTTAATCATTGGCGATTCCTTAAAACTTTACAAACTGTAAATTAACTGGATAACTCTATCTGTTCTAAAGGTTCTTATTGATCCAGTGTTACTACAGGAGGAAACCTAAACTAAACTAACTTTATTTATACTAGATATCTCTATCAGTTCTAAACTGTTCTTCCTAGAAGTCCAGTAAGGGTCATCCCTTGTTCATCCAGTGTTACTACAGGAAGAAAACTAAACTAAACCAACTTTATTAGAAACGGTATACAGTCAAATTGGAAACTACCCCTCTCGCATGTGACTGAGGCAAAACTGCACTTTCAAAATGGAACCCCCTGTCTAACTACAATGCTACTAACATCTTATAAACAGTGAAAGGGAAACTAAATAATGTCATTTCCAGAGCAGTGGTTATTACCTTCTGTTACCACGTCAACGTCCTCAATTTTCATTTCCTCATTTTCATTTTTGTCCGGTTTTTCCTCGACTTTGTTAACCATTTCAAAGGACTCGGTTTTATTGGGAACAACACTTGATTCATCCACAGCATCAAAGCGAGTCCAGTATGTGAGACGAGATATCTAAAACAGGACAACGTACTCTATTTTTTGCTATGGAGGTCAAGTATAAGCAACGTCCTACATTAAGATGTCGTGGTTTGTGTTGAACTACCTGAAAACGATTAAAAATACTTCTCAAGCAATCCAATGGAGGTAGTATTTTACATGCATTGATTAATCGTGGTTTGTGTCTGAATTACCTGGAAAGTACTACAGCCCAACCACCAATAATCTGACGAAGTATCTTGAGTTTCCAGATTCAAACAAGAACGCAAAACATTAAAAAAATTAAAGAATTGCCAATTCTTTAATTCCACATTTCCGCTGTTTTCATAGACAAGCTTTATTTTCGGAAACTTTAAAAACTGTTGTGGCGGGAAAATCTTTGTGTTCCACATATAAAAATTGACCAATCACCGCGCATGTAGGAACAAAACTGGCCAATCAGCGTTGGCGTACATACCTTTTCGGGTTCAGACTCCTCGCCAAAGAATGAGAGCACGACAATGCAAACAGTCGTGACAACAAACATAATAAGAGCAAAATACATGAAGTTTAATTTGACATAACCAGGCCGTGTGTCAGCATCGCCACATTTTGGTTGAGGGAAAGCAAAATCACATATCATTCGAGAAATGCCAAGTACAAATCCTATCATCATACCATAGAATGCACCCTGAAATCGATTGCAATAAAATTTAATATTTTTCTTTTGTTTAGCACTTGTAGAAATTGACCAAATGTTATAGAAAGTTCAAAGAGAACTCGTATAAGTAGAGTTAAGGTCCGTGTTTACACTTGTCATTTTTGCTTCGATTCTCTTCTGATGCATGTGAAGGAGTAGATGAATTATGAATGTTCTGAATAGGTGTACCCCCATATGAACTTTCATAATTCTTCCACTTGTTCGCATCCTTCACAAGAAGAAAATAGCACCTAAAATCTCAGCAAAAATTGCAAGTCAAAAATGGGCTTTAAGTATTAAGTACTGCGAAATATGGTGTTGACGTATTCAGCAGATGGTTGTTAACTTCAGAAAAGTGACGGGCAGGAAGGGGAAAGTTTTGAATAGAAGTCTTTGAATGATAACTAAATAACTGGGTAAAAAAGCTGTCGCAATAATTTTTCAACCATGAAAGCATTGGTAGGCTAGAAATAAAGCTACATATTGCATGAAATATATTGCAAAACAGTTGAAAGATTTCCAGCTACAAAAGGTTGTCATATGTTGGCAACCTCATAGAAGTGTTGAATGGGCGAGTCCTGTACTAGGCTAAAAAGTTGCGTTACTTGTAACGACTTACAAATTCATTGACACGTTTCCACAAGATAGCCAGCAGATAGAGAGCACATATGGGTGGAGCGAGGTACGAGGATATAGCCTGGATATATAGGAACATTTGACCACCTTGAAACCGTTCTACCACAGGTATCCATAGAATACTCACACCACACATGACCACTACCCAAATACTGCAAAGAATTATAATACAAAGTTCTTTAGTTGCCCTCTGTGTCCATGGTCTGTGTCTGAACAACTATACTGCCTGCATTGGACCACCATGTTTGAGATGTAATATATCAAATCCAACTATAAGAGGACTTTACTGGATATCTGGTAAAGTCCTCTTAGTTGAATTTGATATATGACATCTCAAATTCACAAATGAATCAGAATTTTAAGAGAAATTTAAGTTTGAGGGAATTCTATGCTAATTAAGATCACATATCCAACTGCCGTCATAGTTGTGATTCCCTTTGTTTACCGCCCATTAATTGTGTAAGAATTTGAGATATACGACTACCTACCGTCCAACAATCATCAACTCTCTGGTACTCGCTTTCTGGCGTATTCTGCTGTAGATATCAAGTGTGAATATCGTGCTTGAACTGTTAAATATAGACGTGAGATCACTCATCAAGGCCGCCATCATGACAGCAAACATGGCACCGCGAAGACCTGGTGGCATTATCCCCAGAACGAGGCGAGGGTACGCAATATTTGAACAGGCAACCGTTGAGCCACATACGTCTTTACATGCTTCACCCACACAAGCTACTTCATCTGTAGTGAGAAAAGAATGTACATGAAGTTCTCAATGGTTGATTTCAGCTATAGACTAAATTTTGTTCCAGACAAGAAGTACGAAATCTATCATTACAGCTTAAAAGAACATCCTTAAATTAGTTAAATTGTATTACAGCAAAAAATGGGAAATTTTATAATTCAATTACAATAAAAATGACTTACATCATCGGAAAACGTACAAAAAACCGCATATAAGACTTTTAAACAGTTTTTTGATTTTTCAAGTAGTCTTCGAGTTATTGCTGTTTTAAATGTGAAAACTGGACCAAAATGTCGCAATAAGGACTGGGTATTAGGTCAAAAACGCGTTTTTGACAGCGTATAACTCGAAAACAATTTTAGATATAAAAAAAAAACTGTTTAAATGTCTTATATGTAGGTTTTTGTAAGCTTTTTGATGATGCAAGTCATTTGTGTTGTAATTGAATACAAAATTTCACATTTTCTTGCTGTAATACAATTTAATAGAGGATAATCACTGATCACCCATTTTCTTGGTGTTGGGCAAGTTTTTTGCTTGGGAACTTTTTGTGGTAATTAAGCATCTATGGTTCTATGAATTGAACCGCAGAAAATCTATTTCCCAGGAGGATGCCACGAAATTGCATTTCTAGGCACCTTTTCGCACAACAGCCCACGGCCTATATGCATAGATTGCTAATTTGTCCTCCAAATGCATCGTCACCGGCGCTGTGACGTCACGCGCAATGGGTCTATATTTTTCGATTTTACAACATTTCGCAACCAAACTTTGCAATTTTACTAATTTTAGGATGCTCTTTTGAGCTGCAATGATAGATTTCGTCTTTCTTGTCTAGATAAAAAAATAGTCGATAGCTGAAATCATTCATTGTTCTCCCTAGAGGTGCAATATGACCCCGATTAAACGAGGGTGAGAGTAGTGTATTACCTACCTGTGTATAAGACGCGACTTATCATGCCTGGCATAACTAACAAAAACATGGGTAATATTTTAATATAACCCGCCATCAGACAAGCAGCTTTGCCATGCGAAAGATTCTTAGCAGCCAGAGCTCGTTGTACTATTACCTTGTAGAATAAAAAGGAACACGTTTTAATCAAGTGACTAAGTTGACTTTAATTAAACTGGATAGCTCTGTCAGTTCGCAACTGTTATCTTTGGTAGGTCAAGCGAAGTCTAGTGAGGTTCATCCCTTGTTGATCCAGGAGGAAATTATATTAAACTAATTTTAATTACACTGGTCATGCAGCTCTGTCAGTTGTTAACTGTTCTTCCAAGATGCTACTAGTTAGGGCCATCCCTTCTACGTCCATTGGGGGACTCGAATAAAAAGTGTAGTATTTGCAGTATTGCTATCCAGATGATCTTGATACGCGGAAAAGTACTGGCACTAGTTGTCAAATAGAAATCCATTTTATGATTAAAACAACTGAATATCTCCTGCAATATACTTTATTTCGATTCCATATTTTTGTCAGAGCTATAGTTCTCATAACCAAACATAATTACAAAATTTCAACTAGTTTCATAAAGAATAACGAAAGATATAATTGACTGAATACATCAAAATGGATTTCTATCCGGACAACCCTTTCTGAGCGCTGATTGGCTAAAATATGAACACGAGATCACCTGGATATATTGGGATACTTGCTATCATCATGTTAAACCACGGGCAAGATCAGAAAATCAGTAAGATCTCAAGATAACTCAGGAAGGCCTGCTCCCAGGTTACCTCAAGATTTGAGAGGATAACCTGTGGTGGTTATACAGCCTGTCTGACCTGCCCTCTCTGCAGACTAGTCCCTACTTGATTCAAACCCCTGTTTATTAACCTTACCTGATCAGCACACCAATACCAAATAGACGAGGCAGTCACGCCCAACACAAAACCTGGCCAAGGTATATCACTATCAACCGCATTACGAAGTAAAACAAATGAATCTTCCCTGGGTATTCCACATGTAGTGTTAGGGATTGAACTGTTTGGTATGGCCATCATGTATTTGTCTTGTAATCCACTGTAGCCACCCACTTCAATAAAAGCTGAAATCATTTACAGACAATACATCATTACTTTATTTTGTGACTGATTGCCTCCAGATCTACCTGCTCATGTATTAACAAAGGAGCGCAATGTAAATAAGCCTTTTGGTTTCTTTTGGGCTACCTTGCCTTTTTTTATTTTATTCATTTTGTGTAATTTTTTTTTGTTAATTATTGACGAATAAATTGATTTGATTTGAACAGTCATTCTAGAAAATATCCACACCTCCCCCATGGAGGGGATTGTTGGAGGAGAAGTTAATCCACCAACGGTACACTTACAGGTAACATTAGCTTGCACTGCTAGCTGAGACAACCAAAGGCAACCTCACAGTTGCAACTTAGTTTAAACAAGGTGATAGAATACCTTTTATTGCGACAACCATAGCACCAAGAACCATAACAAAAGCTGACAGAGTATCTGTGTATATAACTGCTGTGAGGCCACCTGCGATATTGAATAACAAATTATAGAAACAATTGGAAAGCAAGTACCATACAGTTGAATATCACTTGTACAATTTAATATTCCTTCAAGCGAAATGTAATCAATACATTACCTAGGGCAGTACATAAAGATGTCAGTGCAAGCTGAAGTAAAATTCCAAAATAGATGTTCCATCCCAATGCTTGATTGATAAAAAGTGATGCAGAAAACATGTTCACCTGTAAAATGATTGGTCAAATTTATACTCTAAGAAACAGATAGTACTTATCCAATAATTCACATGTTATACAGATAGATAAACAAACTAATATGTTCATATAAGTTTGTCTTAATGGAACGATCATACATGATTGGTTCCCTGAAGCAATGCTAGTATAATTAAATCATGTCACACTCTCAATAGTTTGTCTAGATTGTTTGTCTTCTGTTTACTCAGACTACTGAAGCTGGATATTGACAGATGATTCATCATCTCTCAAGTAGAAATTGTTCAATGATTTTTACCGATATCTTTGTAAAAATATAAAGCAGCAAGGATAGACAGGCCAAATAAACGCGAAGTCGTTGTCCACCAAAACGACGTTGAATATATTCTGGCATTGTTCTGATCTGAAATGGGAAAATTAATTCCAAACAAATTCACATTTTCACATTTCTGAACAAGTATATCTGAACCTAAACCTAAATCGCTCTGTTTACTTTGAACTTACCCCACTGGCCATATACACAGGTAAAAAGACCCATCCTAAAACTTGCAGTAAAATTAATGCCTAAAGGAATAAAATAAAATTAACATAAGAAATCCTTAATGATTTGCAGAGAATACCATTATGTACAGTATCAAATCTGGCCTGACTGGAAAGTTTGGAAATCAATTGCAAAAACTTCGATTTGCATCCAGGGATGTGGAATGGAGGGTATGCCCAGTGGAGCATGTGGAGGGTGGGCCCAATGGAGGGTGGGCCCAGTGGAGGGTGGGACCAGTGGAGGGTGGGACCAGTGGAGGGTGGGACCAGTGGAGGGTGGGACCAGTGGAGGGTGGGACCAGTGGAGGGTCGGACCAGTGGGGGGTGGGACCAGTGGAGGGTGGGCCCAGTGGAGGGTGGGCCCAGTGGAGGGTGGGCCCAGTGGAGAGTGGGACCAGTGTAGGGTGGGACCAGTGGAGGGTGGGACCAGTGGAGGGTGGGACCAGTGGAGTGTGCGCTCAAGCTTAACTGACCACACCCAGGTTCAGATGGTGCAATTATCACTCATCTTTACCATGGGAATTTTTGCACCAAATGTCACTGGTTGATTATCACTCAGATTTACCCGGCACAGGACTTTTTCACCAAATATCACTGGTTGGTTCTAAGGGGCATGGACACTATGATCAAGTACACAACTCTCTGTAACCCACTAAATTGTAGCAGATGGTAGCATCTATAACCTTACATTAAACTCAAAAGCACCAACACCTATCCCTGCAGCAGCTCCTGAACCAGCAAGGCCAATGAAATGTTCACTACCAATATTACTTGCAAACAATGATGCACCAACCTATGGAATAATATAATGACCAGCACTGTTATACAAGTTTAGATCCCTCCTGCCCCCCCCCCCCCTGAACTTCTTCTGGGAAGGGGGAACTCATGTACACTGTACAGTATAAAGGGATGGTGCTTATTCCAGAACAGGTAACATTTATCACTGGGTGATTTTTGGTAGAAATTATACTTGGTACAATTCCTTTTTTATGTGTGTAATGAAAGCTCATGCAAGTGATGGGTGGGTGGAAATATGCAAAATTTATAGTTATACGTACAGGTATAAATGTCATAAAACGTCCAGCTAAAAAGTAACCAGTTACTGTACCACGATTGGATTTGTACATTGCCTGCAAGACATAATGCATTGAAGTCATTATATAAAGTTTACCATAAACTACCAAGGACTATTATGCAGAAGGTCAGCCAGTAATGAGGCCCACCAAGGGGTCATGATCGACAAGCGACATTCCTTCAAAGGAGGCAACAGCCTATGCCGAAAAAGAGCGACAAACAACGGCTTCTGACTGGGAAAAAGCAACAAATCGCGATTTGTGTTATGGGTTAAAAGTGACAGCGACATTTATTACAATAAAACAACCGACAAAGCAGCTACAAAATGCTTGACTCTTGAAATCTAAAATATACGATGGACTCGCCCAGCTTTAAATTCGACCGATTTAATTTCGCGCACCCTGTTGAGACTTATTCGCTTACCTTTAAATTCGCGCAAGTAATTTTCCTTGTTCGTTCTTTCTGGTTTGTTTAATAGAACTATTTATCAACAAATACTGTACCTCAATATTTGTCAAAACATAATCAAAAAGCGATTAGATCGCCTCAAAATATGGCTTCAAAATTATGTATAAATGTAAGCAAAATTCATGATAACAAATAAAGCGCGAGTTCAAAATACCAACAAAAACTAAAAAAATATTGTATGGTATAATACAATAACAATAATCTTTATTAGCATTCCCATATATTATAGGTTCATAAATTTATAACTATAAGTCAAACAAAATTTTAGCTAGAGTTCAAATCGATCCTCTTTTCGTTGTGGCTCCTGTTGTTGTCCAATGCAAGTTTGAGGATCTGCAGCAAAATGCAGGCATTCGTGACGGAATAATACGCGGAACCTGAGAATATCTCGACTGAAATTGCCCAGTCGAACCTGAGAATATCCCAACTGAAATTGCCCAGCCAGATAAAGATGAAGACATTTTTTATTTTTAATGTTACCAAGACAACTTAAAACATATGTCAAATGTGTACATAGTAATGCAAATCAGTTGATTTATTAACACAACAATGAGTGTCTCATATTACACCGCAAAGCTTTTCGCGCGGATAATATTTCGCGCAAAGTAAAATTTGCGCACCCAACGCTGCGCGAATTTTAGTATTAAATGGGCGAATTTTTATAATACAAGTTCAAAGTCTATTTTCATTCAATTCCGACGTAAATTTTAGATTTCAAGAGTAATATTTGAAATGTGGATTCTGACGACCGCTCTAGTCTCTACCAGCTCTGGAACGAATATTTTTAATAAATAAGTTTTTTTATTATCGATTTGGGAAAATATAATTGCATTTTACTGCATACATTTACCAGAACATTGAAAATAATGAAATATTTTACAATAATTCAACGAATTCTGCGCAGATATCATTGTCCCAAGTACTTTTGCGCAGGAAATTAAGTTCCTCCAATGCCAAAACTTTGCAGTTCTGGCATTTAATCATGCATTCCTGCATTTCATTTCTCAATTCGAAAATTACTTGCACGGCTATATAAACATGCGCGTATACGTAAACAAATTACAAACGAACACGTAACTGGTTGTCACACACAATACAAATACAAGCCTTGACTTTATGATCGCAAATAATAATCTATTTCACATATACATTACAATTCTAAGACGAAGATAATTTTTATATAGAGCATTCACAATAAGATAGCATTACATGAAATATTTTGAGCGGGGAAATTCATTCCATGGTTACTCAGTTATACTCACCCATAGCCCAACGCCAATAACAATGAGGAAATAAGCCACAATAACAACAACATCAACAGCATTAATTCGACTTTCTGCCATTACGAATGATTATCTCGCGATATTCGGCAAGTATTTGCAGCAAAGAATATGTAAAGTAAAAGAAAACAAGCGTTATGTATCTCGCATGTGTTTGGCTTGATTGTGTCAACACAGATGAAACGCATGTCAGGTATGTAATATGATAGGGGTCTGCAAAGACTCTACATCACTGATTTTCATTTGGATTGAATTCAATCCTCATGCAAATGCCTTCTGTGCTTTCTGATCGAAAATAAATTTTGGCTAATAACTAAACTTTTGCGTAGTTTACCTGTGTGTCTATTTTTAAATAGAACATTCTTTCTTTCACTAATTGTTACAAATCGTAATAACTTAATACATCACACATTAATATATAAACTAGAAGTAATCATAGATTAGCGATGTGCGTTCGAAATGTGTGATTTTTTGTTTATGCAAATCTGGCCAAAGAGTTTATGATGAAAATGTTATTAAATAGAACATTCTTTCTTTCACTAATTGTTACAAATCGTAATAACTTAATACATCACACATTAATATATAAACAATATTAAAACCAATATGTTCGCAAACAAACATTGGGAAAAAGCATCGCTCGAAAGGCGGAATTGAACCGCTCCGACGCTAGTCGGCTACAGGTTTGAAGCCTGCACCCCACACCAGTGAGGCTCATTCAAGCACCTTTGTAAGGTAGCACCATTGTATTTATACACGTAGTTGTATACTCACACTTCGCTTGTGGGACATCGCATTCTCGGACATGCGCAAATGCTTTATATAAAGAATGTTGAATAATGATTAATGATGCATATCACCACCATGTATCTTTATCAAAACAGCACCATAATCATCATCTCAGCTTTATCGATTTTCATCAACACTGAACGATATGCTTTTGAAAATTCTTACTACAAAACCTTGAACATCAAAACTTTTCAAATCAAAACTTTTCAACATAATGATTCAAGATAAAACATATATACAACGAGAAAATAATACAAAGTCAAAGATACATTTCAAAAATGTTTTGCAACATTGGAATAGATATGATCTCTCTGAGGTCTGATCGCTTCCCTTGATGGTGGACGATTGGCGATCATCTGAGTGCCAGGGGAATGATAGCCTTGCGGTAGCGAAGATGAACGATTGTCGTATTCGTAGGCTGTTAAAATAGCTGCATGATTATTAAGAACAAACATTACTTGCTCAGTGTGATAACTGCATCGGTTATGAAACGACTGACACTAAAAATATGCACCTGCATTATAGGCAATCACCATGATAGACATGCAAATAATGGAACAAATCTTTGGCCTGAAAAGGATACTTGCTGTGACAGGTAAATATATTATATCAGTTTCACCAACAATCTCAATATGATGTCCAATTGAACCAATACCGCTTTCTCCAGAGACGCCAACGGCAACAGCAAATATCTCGATGTCCAGTTTTGTGTTCATTCCTGCTGCAACCTAACAAAATATAAAACGAACGGTGAAATGGATTTTTAATCTTATATAAGGTATATTACCGACTTTCTGAAGTTCTTATGAAAGGTTAACATTTAAACAGAAATTTTGTCGCTGCACAGAACTTTAGTTTAGCATGGCTACGAATGAATGCCTTTATAGTGTTTATACATTTTAAGCACTTTTAAAAAAATGATTGAACACTTCAATGTCCAGTACCCTCACTAGCGCCTTGTTTCCTAACACACTCATATAAAATAAATGAATGAGATTATGTTTGAGATGAATGAGAGATTATGTTTGAATGAAAAGCCGAAGGGTCTTAGTTTTATCCTCATGAGGATCGCATGATTTTCATGTCGTTGGGAGGTTTTTCTTATACAACAATTAAATGACAAAGGGAAACATACCGGTCCAGGTGTAAAGAGAACTTTCATTCCAGTAGATGGAGGAGGTTGACGTATTTTAAACCTACAACTATCAATACCAATATTCTTCAATACTACGGGATGTATGTAAGTACATCCTTCTTTCAATATACCGAAATCAACCTCTGGTGGAAACAGTTCAAAACCTCGCATGTTGGGCCCATTTTTACCAACCACGGATACTGTTTGTACTTTGCGTCGTACCGGATCTTCTATCATTGAGAACTAGATAAGAGAGGTAGAATTCATTTGTTTCAAAATATGACTGAAATAAACAGGACAAGTAACAGGTTTTGCGCAACGATGGAGTGTACCAAATTTTCCAAATCTATCACTCTTCACATATGTCTATATAAAAACTACTCCGAACAACTTATGTACAACAAACGTCACCAGAAAAAGAACAGTGGCAAAGGATAAGCGAAGGACATGACCCAGAAGTGAATGGTAGAAATACATGGTTCGATGCGTGGACACGCATAGAAATAAATATTAAACACAAGATGCTGTAATCTACAACTTTGACATCTCTTCAAAAGATATACGTAAAACCACGCGGTGAAACAAATTTACTACGTAGAAACTAAGTAGAGAGGGTTAAAACGTAAAAACATTGAATACCATCAAAGCACAGACCAAAGTGCGCCAATTAAAAGTGAACTCATATCACAAAGGTCACGCACTTCCGGTGGTTGTCAGGACAACGTGTACACGCAAGCAGGTATGTCGACAAAGTGCACGTTGTTTTACAGGTATCAATGAACGCTTTATATCACTTTATTGTTCGCCTACTTTCAACTAAGGCTCAGTGGTCTAGTGGTATGATTCTCGCTTTGGGTGCGAGAGGCCGCGGGTTCGATTCCCGCCTGAGCCCCCTCTTTTTACTCCGCCGTGGATCTTTTTATTTCATGGAGACAGGCGAAAAACCTCTGGCACCCAGGGTACACATACAGTAACAACACATACAAGCTCAATTTTTAGTTTTAAAACTTTAGGTCGCTGTTGGAATCAACCACATATCGAATCAACTACATATCATTTGCCAAATTCTACTATTCGCTTATTGATATAAATTACTGCAGAAAATAGGCAAATACATTTTCCAATTTTTTGAATACTTTATAAATGATTTATATATTCAAACGAAAACGTCGATTTTTCGCGTTGCCTGCAAACGAAATTTACCTGAAATTGTTGGTACAAAGGACTGGCTCTAGCTGTGTAATGGGGATGCATTTAAAATTTCTCAATAAATGCTTCTGATCTTCACATTTAAATCTGATTCCTAGTTGTCAAATATTGCCATGTGTTTGCAACATGAGAGAAAAAATATTCGTTCTAATTGAGACAAAAAGTAACAATATTTTGAAGGGAAGAGTAAAAAGATGCATTGGCCGGGAATCGAACCCGGGCCTCCCGCGTGGCAGGCGAGAATTCTACCACTGAACCACCAATGCTTTGTTATCGAAATATGCAAATGAATCGTATTTCCCGCAGCTCTACAACCAGTATATATGATCGTACTCAGAAAATGAGTATTTTAAACAAGCATTGGTCAGTTTCAATAGATAGAAATCTCTCCATGCAAAAACTCAATATAATTCAGTATAACAACATTTAGCGCGCACTAATAACATTTTAACCAGGAACTCCAATTCAGTTAGTAGAAAATAAAATAATTTAGAGGCGTTTTTCTTCCTTACCTGCGTGTTGGGTAATGCGCCTGGTTTTCCTCCCAATATCACATTTGGTAATCTGACTGTATCCTTGCGTGGTGAACCAGTGACGTCAACATACAAGCTTTTCTGCCGACCATCGTCATCGTATTGACTGTTTGCTAAAAATTAGAATGGGATACAAAATTATAAAATATTAAGTTAAGACTGCAATAAATAGTTACTGAACTTTAGTCTTTAATTTACTTGTAACAGTCTATCCTCCATATATGTGATGCAACAAACACGAAATTTTTGTTTCAAATTTCCCCCAGAATGACAATTCTACAGCTATGGGAATTTGGTCAGATATGTTAACACTGATAAGTAGATGAGACAGTAAACTAAAACTACATCTCTTAATAAGTTAATTGTATCTATTTGCTACCAAATAATACAAAATACATTTTCTAAATCACCATCAGCTGTACGATAGAGTTTAGTAGATCCACCTGTGTGACAATCATGGAGGAAGCCAGCAAGGAGGAAAAAGGAAGGGAACAAAGACAAAAAAAGAATGAGAGAGGAAGTGACAATATATTACGTCACTTACTTGATGACATCAAATCCAAAGCGGTGTCATTATCGTCCACAGTAGATACTTCATTTTGTGTTTCTACAAGAGCTTCTAGAGGGGTATAATCCAAGATCGACTGCACATTACGTGGAGAATCTAGAAAAGACGTTTTAGTACAACATTTTACAGGGTTGTACATCAGGAGCCAGTTGTTTGAAAGCGTTGTAGCTTCACCCTAAGTTGTCTAAGTTAACCTAAAATTTAAAGCAAACTTTCCAATAGGCTTGTTTATAAATTTGGAAATATTTCTTCAGAAATATTGTCTGGATCAATTGGAGTTTTCTTCTCTAAAGTTTTGAAATAAACAGACGTGCAGAAATACATTAACCAAAATATCAAGTTAAATTTTAACCCAGGGTTAGCGCTAACCCACCTTTGAACAACCGCTCCCAGGTATCTGGACTAACTCTCTCAGGCTGTTTGTTTTGCTCTAAATACGAGCCCAGTACATACAACAAAACGGATAAGCGTCATTTCTCACTTTGAGAACTGCCAGTTTACCAGTAATAACCTCTGCTACACGATAACTTGCTTACTGGTGAAATAGCTGAAACATACCTGCAACCTCGCTACCAATCACATTTGATGCCTGACGTGGTGTGGGGTTTGTCGGGCGGCTTGCCGTGGGTGTTGGTCTGCCCGCAGCTTGGGCTGGAGTTGGATTGATGGGTCGACTGGCAAAGGGTGTGCTGCTCTGTACGGGTGGATCACCTGGTGAATGTCTTCCTTCAGGATCCAGGTTCTCTAACACGGCTGAGCTGTACCTGTCCAAGCATTTCGAGTCGTTGCGATCACAGCTTTCTAAAGAATTGAAACAAAAAATGTAATCAGTCGAACTGTCACCTTTTATGAGCTGACACTCTCAGGTTCTCTGTGCTGACAAATGAAATACACTATCCATATTTCTGTACAACGAGTACCAGACACTGGAAATTTTTTTGAAAATCCATAGAAGGTCATAGAATGGAAATTGTATGGATGTTTATTGGAAATAGAATGGATTTTGGCTATCCATAATAATTAGATAGATAGATAGATAGATAAATAGATCAACTTTATTCAGGCACACTAATCTCATTCAACATTATGCTGATTTCCATGAGAGGTGTGCTGGCTAACTGTTACAATTTTAAGTCTAATTTACTAATACATACAAACTATTATTATATAAATGCTATTAAATATTCACTTAACTAAACTAAACTACTTAACTTAACTACTTACTATGGATATAGTATCGAAATAGTATAGATATACTATGGATTTAGTGGTGCAACTTGCAAATTTCGTAGTATGGATTTCACATTTTTTTTCTCCAGTGAGACTGCTTTGTATGCATCAAAGATAAGACAAGATAGATCCAGATTATCTCATATTGGTGACCTTGACTTGATCACGACAGCCACGACCAAAAGAAGACTTTACCTAACAAACTACATACCTTGAGTAACATTGTTCTGATCTATAGTTTCAGCTGGAGTGCTAGATCTACTGCTCTCCAGGTCCGTAGGTGGTCGTGCTGGACACGCCTGTTTATCCAAGTCAGCGCTAAGTTTGGTCATATCAGGAACAGCTTTTAAACCAGTGAGAAATGATTGACCTGTAAAGAGACGAGAATACAATTTTATCTACATATTTTATTTAACATGCTCGTACAATTACAATGCATTCTTAACTCTCAGAGGTAATGAAGTTTAGGTGTTTACAACAAAAGCGTGATTTCTAAAGGGTCACTCTTTTTGTTGTGACACCCTGTTGTGACAAACCTGAATCGGTTCAAGTCACCGTGTGTCAGGGCAACTAAATATGAATAATACAAGTTTCGAAGACGTTAACAAGACGAAGAAGTCTTTGATGACAAACCTTGCGCGGTTTCAAAATACGGTGGCACCTCTTGGTAACGCAACGCATGTTTCCCATAATCTAATTTTGCTAACTCGATACGATCTCGTTCCCACACGGCAGGCGAACGTTTCCACACGGGCGCTGGAGGAAGGGGTTGATCTACTGGAGTGACTGACTTCAGGTAGTCTTGACACAAACCTGGGGACGAGAGAAGGGGAAACGGTTTACAATAAACACTTCCCAAATTTGCACGAGTATACACGAAATAAAAGCATGAACTTGAGGCTGACGAGGTCATGGAACCAAGCAAAGAAAGATTAAAAACTTACTTACCATCTTTGTTACTGGTCACTTGTAGTTTGTTTGATTTTACAGGCTCGTGCTAGAAAATGATAAAATTTAGATACAAATACACAAGATATTATAAATGTGAATGTTTGGTATCTAGAAGAGGAAACGAGTCGATATGCGACAACATGAAGTTGCTAGGACGAGGGAGGTCTACACTGACGACCTTAAACACGAACTAAAACATCAATGATTGACAGAAACATGTAAAGAAGGATTATGGAACTGTAATCCAGGTGGGAAGTAGCCTGTTTACTTCCGTTGGCCGGCGTTAGGTGATACTAGTCGTAGTCGGCCTGTGCACACAAAAGTTGGTCGGACATCTGTAGCGAGAACGTTCAATTACCTTGCTCGCCAATATATTTGCTCTTTCCACTTCCTCAGTATCACGTGATTCTTGTGGCAAACAGCCGTCGGCTTGAAGTTGAAGTTTAGTGACGTAATCACCATACTGTTGAAATGCCGCTGAAATGGTCTGACGATGTGTACTGTCTGAAGGCTCGTATTGGATTAAATGACGTAAGACCAAAACTTTGGGGCATGTTATCTGAGGTTTAATATGCACAGTCTTCCTCATATTACCAACGTTGAGACCTGAGCCTAAAATAAACAAACAGAACTTGTTACATATAAAACGGTCTTCTCTACCTTCTTCGAAGTCTCACATTTTCAATTTCCTTTCCGTACAACCCACCTGCATTGGAACCAAAATTTGGTCCGACTTTCTTAAATTCCTTAGCTGGGAACATTTTAAAGTCTCTCTCACGTAAACCCACTGGTATAAGTATCGCTTCGTCCTTTTCTTTCATCCATGTTTTACCGACACCACCTAGGGAAGAAAACGAAATCATCTCACTCAAGCATTTTAAGTCAATGTCACATCATCATTATACCTCTGTTTGGTATCTGAAGTACTAGATAGATTGGTCTCTTCCACAGACACCTTAATAGGGATCACACAACAGAAGAGAGTCGAAGATTTCTGGATGGAAAATATTTGCAAATAGGACAATCGTGTTGCTCCAGGTACCTAGCGAGATTTTCCTTGAAACAGGGAATATTCCCTGCTAAAGCCCAGAGGACACTCATCAGCGCTGAAACATTGCTTCTTAGCCATGTTTGCACAAAGTAGATAATATTGATGTAAGAAATATTTGCCAGACCCAGACCTTTATTACAACAACAAAGAGTTTTACCTGAAAATGGCTTTAACACAGTGATTCCAGTGACACCAGGCAAACCTTCCACAGGCGTTCTCAAAACTGCTGTAGTGACCTCATCTTCGGCTGCCTTCAAGTATTCATTGACGTCACGATGACGTAATAACTCGTACCCAGTACCATCGCGGCGCATCACGAAGAACCGAGGGACATGGCCTGCGTTAGAAAGACTTGAAAGAGCATCAACGCCAAGTGATGCTTCGTTATTGTCTAAAGTGAGGAAAATATTTGAGTCAAAACCTTGAATGCTGAATCACTATGGTGACTTTTTATATGAACTGAACTGAACTAAACTATAGCTATATCAGTTCTAAATTGTTCTCCCTGGAGGCTGCAGTTGTTACCAGCTGCCACTACACGCGTAAAAATTGAGAAAATCAACAACTTGTTCCAGGTTGATATCAACAGGCATGAACAAGGTTGTGCGGCCCACTATGAACAGTACTGTCAACATGTTGTTACAGCATTGTTCAACTGTAACAAGTTGGAACAACATGGTTGACAACTTGTTCGTAGTTGGCCGCACAACATTGTTCACACCTGTCGATCACAACTTGGAACAACCGGTGCGTTTTTAGCCGTGTACAGGAGTATAACCAACAATTACTACAGGAGGAAACTGGAATATCTGGAGAAAGCCACGGTGTTTGATAGATTCAAACTTGAAGCCGATTCTTACACGGGCCTTAGATGAAATTATACGGAGAAAACTAGGATCAGGCAATGATGTCGTAGGTGCTAAAAACACATGAACGTTAACACTGCGCTACCAAGGCAGGACCTTAAACTTACCGTTTCCAGAAATATTCGCGACATTGTCTTCAGATTCACTGATCTTTATCTCACCATTACTGTACGCTGAGAAGACATTGCCATGTTGATCGAGGAGTTCACAGCAATGTTGTGAAGTTGTTCGTAGCAAGTAAACACCACGGTGGTTTGTGCAGCAGCTATCACTGAGACTACTCAAACCACGAGAACCACAACTGGACAGTTCCCGGGGAACGTATGCGATATCACCTGAATATTATCGAAACAATGGTTTTGAGTACCGTATGCTACTAATAGTTGTAATATTCAGTAAAGCCCCGCATAAAAGAACCAGTGAATTTTGACTTCAGGCTGAAGTGCTTAAATTTTCGATAACCACTGAGTATTCTAATAAAATACAAAACAATGGAAACTCCGAAGAAATTCATATTTTTAATTCAACGTTTCGACTACTGTTGAGTCATCATCAGGAATTATGAAAGCTACTAAAATTTTACAAGTTATTGTAAAATTTTAGTAGCTTTCATAATTCCTGATGATGACTCAACAGTAGTCGAAACGTTGAATTTTTAAATATGAATTTCTTCGGAGTTTCCATTGTTTTGTATTCTGAAGTGCTTCTTATATAATCTTACTTCACACTATACTTTCTTCTATTCTACATAAAACTATTGCTACGACACTAATATGGTTCTTGTTACATATATCTAAACTTTAAAAACTTGTATTTTGGGTGCTTAATTGCCCAAATTTTAGGCTTGTGGTTCATAACCTACTGGTTCTTTTATGCGGGACTTTACTGTATTATAACAATATATTATAACAGACAATGATGCAATACAATAGATAATAGAATAAAGTACAACAGAATAGAATACAACAGGTTATATTTGGCCAAACACCATCGTGCAACAGATAGTGGTCAACCGATAGTTATCAGGGTGGGAAAATAATATAAATTATTTTTACTATGTGTAGTAGTTTTACACTTGATGACCGAAAAGTAAAAGATCTAGTTCGATTCACTTGCTTCAATAAGTGTCACAAGTTTCAATGACCACAATATGTTGGCTGTAAAACACCTAGGCTGTAATGGGTACTGAAACCCAAGATACATGACAACACAAAACAACACAGTGTACCTTTGATATCAAAACAAAGTTTCGATCCATCACTCTTCTCAACAACACACTCGCCATTCGCCTCTGTATTTATACTGCTACCATTTCCAAATAACGTTCGAGCACAACCATGTTCTGTCTCCATGACAACCGTGGCAAAACCTTCACACTCCACCTTAACATGTTTACATACGTGTGACTCGTACTCAGCCTCCTCGCCAGTTTCCGCGTCAGCAGCCCGAATTTCAGTTCGGACAATATCGTAGTACGTAGTAATACGAGTACCATCCGAGTGTTCCACGATCTGTGTGCCGTCTGGCCGGATGATTGTAATAACATTATCTTCTCTCGTTTTGTAAACCTAGATATGGAAACACTAATGAGTTAATAATTTGAAGATTGACTTTATTACAGATGAGGAAAATCGTTGAACTATGCTAGAAAAATATTAAATTGGCCATCACTTATTATTTTCATGTAGTTCAGACACAAACCATGACAGCTTATTGTAGAATACTACCTACACTAAACTACCACGTTTGAGATATCTTTTTCAGGTAGTTCAGACACAAACCATGGCAGCTTATTGTAGAATACTACCTACACTGGACCACCACGTTTGAGATATCTTTTTCAGGTAGTTCAGACAGAAACCACGACAGCTTATTGTAGACTACCTACACTGGACCACCCGTTTGAGATATCTTTTCAAGTAGTTCAGACACAAACCTCGACAGCTTATTGTAGAATACTACCTACACTGGACCACCACGATTGAGGTATCTTTTTCAAGTAGTTCAGAAGTTCATACGCAAACCCCGGCAGCTTACTACCTACGCTGGATCCTCTTGTTCTATGATTACCTGATGAGTGACGGGGCATGCAGCAACCGACAGCTTGACTGCTTCGAGATACCTTTCGCTCCCATCAAGACTTTGCATCAATCTTTCACCATCAGTAGTAACTGTCGTCCATTGCGCGCTTAGCTCAGAACTCGTTTCCAATTGGTCATCTGCTTCGTCATGTGATGACGTGATCACGGTATTGTTTGTCTGTCCTTTACGAGTCGGCTGTTGAGGACTGGGTTCAAGCGAAGGACGTTCAGTGGGGATGTCTGATTTCGCAGGATATACAGGGCAGGTACTGGTTGAACCGTCTGGATACAGGATTTCAATTGAATTATCCAGCATCAGCTTCAACGAGATAATAGATCTGCTTGAGATTTGGTTATCCAACTAACTTTATTTATAGTAGATTGCTCCATATGTTAGCTCTAAACTGTTCTCTTTAGAGGTTAATTAGAGGTCATCTCCTATTGATTCAGTGTTACTAAAGAGGAAACGATTACGGGCAACCCTATATTTGTTCAGCTTTGCTACAAGGGGAAACTTAAACTTACGCCCGTATTCTAAAAGCCCACTCGCACTCAATGAGTGGAAGTTCAATCTGAGCTTTTCTCGAGTGTCAGTGCTGTTTTTGAATAGCTGGAGCGCTAGTGTCATACCTTACTATTCAAAAACAGCATTGACACGCAAGGGAAGCTCAGGTTGAACCTTCACTCATTGAGTGTGAGTGAGCTTTAAGAATACAGGCGTTATTCTATTTATACTGCTAAATCTACGTCAAGAAATAGGCAGTCTGCACTAGTAACACCAAATTCCCAACCTTGATAACTGTGCCGTCTGTCTTAATAGACCTCGATACTTCACGCATTGCCACCGTCCCACGTGCAGCCTCGCATTCATGAAGACCACGTGACTTGAATGGATAACGCTGACGTACAACGACACCACCAGAGTCTTCGACACTTTCGTAGTTCTCATCATTTCGATACGATACGTGCAAACCATCCGGACAACTCACGAATATTTCATGAAATGGTTTCTTAACGGATTCTTGGAGTTCCTTCAGTCTTCTAGAAAGTTGATTAAGATTTACATGAGAAGAATAATGGACTGAATAATAATATATGATGATGGAGTCAAGTGGTTAGCACATGCGCCCTTCTATTCCTGCAATATACAGTTCGCTATCAGTACATGTAAGAAGAGTGCGTCCAGTCTGACGCTAGCAAAAACACCTTAGGTTTTCTCTAACACTGGATCAGTAAGAGATTCGCCTTACTAGACTTCAAGGGAGAACAGTTTAGAACTGATACAACTAACCAGTATAAATAAAGTTAGCTTAGTTGAGGTTTCCTCAACTGGGTCAATCAGAGACGACCAAGATTCGCCTTACTATACCTCTAGTGAAAAAAAGTTCAAAACTGATAGAACTAACCAGCATAAATAAAGTTAGCTTAGTTGAGATTTCCTCCTGTAGTAACACTGGATCAATCAGAGATGACCCTCAGTGGACCTCTAGTGAAAAAAGTTCCGAACTGATAGAACTAACCAGCATAAGTAAAGTTAGCTTAGTTGAGGTTTCTTCCTGTAGTAACACTGAATCAATCAGAGACGACCCTCGCTCGTACCTGTAGTGAAAAAAGTTCAGAACTGATAGAGCTATCCAGTATATTATAATAATATTAGCTTAGTTTAGGTTTCTTCCTGTGGTAACACTGGATCAATAAGAGATGACCCTTACTAAAAATTATAGAGAATAACAACTAGTTAATATACATCCACATCTACCTAGCTTCCTCCTCAGCACGTTGTTTCTCCTCCGCCAGTCTCAATTCCTCCAGACGTCTCGCTTCTTCACCATTCTTCTTACGTGACTTAGGTGATGGCGCTTTCGGCGGTGGACTGGGGTCTAACGGAACACCTACACAATCCCATATAAAATGTGTCATTACTAATTCGTATACACATGTATCGACACGTTTCGGGCATGAAGGTTTCCCTGTTTAGCTGTGACCTGTAACCTTTACTCAGGCTCCACCTGGCATGCCGATATAAAACTCGCTGGGTAAAGACCTACCTAAAATGCTCATACTTTGTGATTGGCTTTCAGAAACAAAAACGATCATCTTTAGAAAGACAATTTCTATAGTTATATTGTCTTTCATTGTTATAATCAACCAACCACAAGCCTGGATAGTATAGGTAGATGATGACCCAACTCGCTTGACACCAGAAAACATCTGTACATGGGCGTACCGGAAGGAAAAAATTAGGGGGGCGGAAAGAAAATTGCCCGACTTTTCGAATTCTGCCCGACTAGTATCAAAAAAATTTTTCCGGAAAAATTATTTTGG